GTATTTGGGGGGGGGGGGGTGCCAGTAGACTGCTGTGTGTGGGTGAGAGATGGGTAGGTAGAAATTATATCCTCAAAGTTAAAGTGAAATAGAAACAGCAAATATAATACCAGCAAACAGCTTTTCCATATAATGATATCGTCATGGTACTTTTTCAAGAGATCATTTTAGGCAGAGAAAAAGTTCTTATAAACGTTGTATTTATTAAAATGGCTAAATGTTTTCACATATAATGTACTAACTCTTTGCACTCTTGGCACTTTTTATTTTTTTTTCAGGTAATTAAATTGCAATTGCATATTATTTTTTAAAGTGTTGCATTGTTTATCTTAATTATTAATTGTGTAGCTGAAACTTTTTCAGTCATTACAGCAGTGTTCAAAATACTACTTTCATTTTTTTACTTTCCCCAGAGCTTGCCTGAAGATCTTGATGTTGCTGCTTTACTGGATGAGATGAGGAAGCTGAAGATCATTGTCAAGAAGCATGAGAAGCGTATTCTTACTCTGGAAAAGAAAATAGCAGAAGCTGAGGCAGAGGCCGATGCTGAAGTGGAGGTGGAAGCTAACGGAGAGGAAGAACAGGAGGAACAGGAAGAGGACTGATTGGCTGCAGCAGTGCTGCTCTATCTACAGACTGGGATAGGTAGCATCCTGTCCTTGCTATAATAAGACTCAGTAAATCACAGCAAAGACAATAAAGTGAAACTGTTGAAAAAGAAAAAGAAGAAAAAGAATGTTTTGCAAATGGTTGCTTTTTTCATACATATTTCATAATGCTCTGTTAAGTATGAATATCATTTTATTGTTAAAGACAAAGTACAATGGAAAAAAAATGCTTGCTTCCATGTGATTGCAGCTTATTTCAGTCAAATGTACAGTTGACTGAGTCAATTAGACACAAATTCCAGATTCTCACAGATTTTCACTGCATGGAGAGATACTGTGCTTCCTGGCCCGTGGTGGGTTATTCAAGACCCCTTTTATTTTGACACATAAACTAGTTGAGGGCATTATAAGTATCAAGAGGGCAGAAAATTTTACCACCACATTTATCAGTTTTGAGAGTTTTATGGCAGTGATTCTTAAATGATGACAAGTGTCCATGATGGCAAGTGTTTACTATTCCAATAACAGATGAGAGCATTAGGTATAGTGTTCTCACCACCAGTGCAGTATTGTCTGTGAGTGGTCTGGACACCTGTGTATTAAACAGATAATCTGAATGTCATATGCAATTGCTTTTATATGAATATTAATGCAAATGTTTGTGTATATGTAGATTAAGTAGATATAAGGCTGATTGGCATATGTGGCCTCATCATGTTTTTGAAAACTATTCTCCAGTGAGCTATACTCTATATGCTTGTGATTATATTCCATATAGACTACTAGGCATGCTAATATTTATTTACTATACTGCTATATAACAAGAAGTGGTGGTGTTGTATAAAATTACTGCTGGGATAAATCTCCACTTATTGTATATTTGAAGGACTTGTTAACCCCTTTCAAAGAATTGTATGTAATCTTTTCTAAAATGAATAACTTAAGCCACACTTCAAAATATTCAGTTTAGCAGATATTTAATTAACTTGCATGTAGTATTAATGTTGGTTCTGTGATGGGTTTCTTGATATTGATACAAGCCTGTGTCTGGAACAGTGCAGACCTGTACATAACACTCTCCTCAAGACATAGACATCATAGCTTGGCCACTGTGTGATGATGTAGGATGAGCTGAGCTCTTTGGGTTACATTTGGATTCTCGCCTTTATCACAGAGAAAACTGGCATATTTGTGTAATGTTTCATAGCTTGGAGATCACATACAGAATGAAAGATTGTTAAGCAGCAAGTTTTGCTCTGAGAGCAGGAAGAGTTCACCTAAGTAACAGTTATCAGTAGAGCTGATTAGATCAGTAGCCGAAGCCTTGTGATTGACCTTATTATTTATTGTAATAGAGTTGGCTATAGGTGGTCTGAAAACTGTGAGAGTTTGGTGATAGAAGTTGGAGGTTGCCTACTGTGATTGAGAACCATGCCAAATTCATGTACACTCGTCATGGAAATACATTCTATAATGTAGATATGATTATATTGTAATAATATTGTTATACTGCGACTTGTAGACAGAGTCCATGTTATTATTATTATTATTATTATTATTATTATTATTATTATTATTATTTTGTGTACTTACAGACATATTGCCCAGAAGCAAGTGGTGGACTAATTAATTAGCTAAAATACTGTTGATATTCTTTTATATGAAGCCATGCTGTACACCTGAAGAAACCTAACTGCTGTATAATATTTCTACATTGGCTACCGTCGGATTGTAGTTCTACTTACCTAATGTGTTACATTGTCTGGTACTATAGTTGTTACTGTTGTATTACCGTAACCTATAGAAAGAGCACAATACGAGATGCCCTTTTATGGGTTAAAACCTGTTGATGAGAGAGAAAGAGAGAGACCTAGTGATTGAGAGATATCTTTTACGATCTGGATAGTTTGTGCCGTTTGTGGACACACAGGCTTGTAAATCGCCATTTTTTTCTAGATATTACAGTGCTCAATGAAGGGGTGGGGTTTATAATGGGAAAACTGCTTGATAATGGTTGGTTCTAACTATAGAGTAACACTAAAGTTACTCTTCCATAAGCATATGGTATGTCTCAGTTACAGAGTTCTTTATTCTTTTCTCAGTTACGGAGTTCTTTATTCTTTCTCTCTTTTGTGAGATTGCGAGAAGCGTTAGACACAAGTCTTCCGTTCCTCCCCGCCTGTATGCCATACCTTCCCAGCCTATATACCTGACAGTTTGCATGAGAAATTTAGCGTTGAGACCACCAAGCTTATTATGACGGTCGCTCTTACTGTAATGATATATCTTTATATTGGGCCGGATAGGGACTGTAATTATTTGAAATAAAATTATACGTGATTTTCATTAAGGCTGTTGATAAAAGAATGTTCATTTACTCGTGAGATACCGTAAAGGTATAAGTATTGAGTGAAATTGAAGTAGTTAAAAAATACGTGCTATGGGCGCTTCTCACAACATCAAGCCAGATTCAACACAGTGCGCGTTTCCAGACACGAGTTGACGGATCCGCATGCGTGGTAAAGAAAGAAACAAACTAATTCTCTAAAATGCGTTTATTTTTCACGTGTAATATATAAAGGAGAAAAATAATAATAAAAAAAAAAAACGTTTTATTAACAAAATATCTAGAAAATTTTTTCAAAATCTATCTCGCACTATTATGGAGTACGTTATGTACATGTAGTGATGCGATTCCTCATCGAAGACGAGAAATCTAGTTTTCCATATTCTACGAGAAAACGTCCTCAAGTGTTTAAAAAACGGTTCCTGGGGCAGTGTCCGTATATTTATCCCTGCTATCTGAAATAACTAACATCAACACAGACTAGTATTAAAACGGCTGAACAACAAGCACAGATCATCTTTTTTCCGGATAAATAGTCAAAACCGGGTGTTTCTTGACTAGGCGGGGACTACTGTTTTTTGAAGATGCGTGTGCATATTACATTTCCAACCTCCATCCTCTGAAATTGATAAGAATTTCAGTTATTTCTCTGGCATAGAGTGGTCTATTGGGAGGGGGGGGGGCATTTAGACCACATGTGTATTTATCTGTTCGCTGTATACTCACAGTTGCAAATGTAGGGTACGTGTAATCAAGCTTGATTAAAACACGCCCTAAGGTACATATACCTATTTTTCTAGGCAGATGGGTCAGAAGTTACATATAATTTTTAATGCCCCCTCAGACATATATATCAGCCAATATACATACATGCATTTCACGGATGTGTCATTTATATACTAGTGCATCTGCGTTTAGGGATGTTCGTGGAAAGACCGACTTTCAGGGATTCAACTTTAACTGTTAAAAGAAGGTGCATATATTAGAAATATATTATATATATTAGAAATGATTTGATAAATATATAAAATGAGTGACCTGATTTAATTCATCTCCTTGAACCACTCTGGTGATGACTATCGGACCTTTCAGATCACCCAAGGGCGTCATAATCATCTTCAGTTTGTTACCGTCCCAACTCGGCTTGTTCTGAAAATGAGCAAAACGTTGTGAGGTGAGGGAGGGCACCTTTTTCATTAGTTTTTCAATATGCAAAACTCTTAGAGCAAAATCTTCATTGGCTTTGTAGTTGGATCATAACGAAAATTATCAAATATTCACATCAGTCTGATGCAGGCCTACTTCCAGATTGGCCGTAAACTAGCGGTATGAAAGTTTTTCGGATTGTATTTGATAATTTAAATGTATGAACCATTTATCTTTGTTTTGCCTTGCATTTAAGGATTCGTTTTTTCTTCACAAATATTACCAAGTAGAATGACAGGATGCAGGGTCATTTTGAATTACCTTCATTTTATGGCCAAACATCTCGGACTCAAATTCTTGTCCTATGGTGAACTCCAGTTTTGTGGCCCCTCCTGGTCCCCCTGACGCGTTCACCACAAACTTGTCACCGTCCTGTGTTATCTCCATTACTGGCGTTATAGCCGCTGCTATCTTCCTTTTTGCGGCGTTTACTCCTAAAGATTTTTGCGAAAAACGTTTGCATAAAAACCAGTTGGTGTGTTGAATTGGCTTTGCAACACAGTAACTACGTTAGTGCAGGCTGATAATATGTAAATAAAAAGGTAAAACGTGGCAAAATCTCAAACATATCTACTGAGAAGAACTCATTGCCATGGTGACACATTCATGCTACTGAATATGCCCTTTCACAAAGACATAGAAGCGGCAGTAATCTAAAAATGTCCATTGCAATTTGGAATAGGAAAAGGTAACTGCCTTATTACGCGATTATATGTTAGAGTAAAAGCAGACCGCAGCCGCTGTCCCCCACCCACAGGCTTCACACACACGCGCGCGTGCATCTCTAAACCTAATAGTAAGGTCCTTTGGGGTGTATTGGTGTGTTTATATACGTGTGCCCCCTAGCATATGTGACTTCATCACACACAAAATGGCAGTATTTATCAAGGTTGTGTGTGCGTGGGGATTGGAGGTGGAAGTCAGATGCCCCTCCTCCTCTCTCGAGATTTAAGAATTTTCCTACTTAACGTGTTCGGCTTTTCCTACCATCAACTTCAACAGCTGCCACCTACGTTTTTTTTCTCAGCCTAAACGGCACAGAGGCCGTGAGGAGAATAACTCAATGTAGAATGGAGCTTCATTGTCCTGATTTGTTGACTTAATTCAAAGTAATCAATGGGCGGTATTCCATTGCAATAGACACAGACTTTAAGCTAACTAATCCGAACAGAGAGCATGAAACCATTAAGTATTGCGAAATCTTCTGGACGCTCAAACCTCATTGAAACTATCCTATATTTCAGAGTCCAGGCAAGAGGGTAAATTCAGGTATATGTAACCACGCCTTTGCAACTTTACATTGTTCATTTAAAAGCAGGCGCAAAAGATATTCATATTAGTAATCGTACATTTCATCATGATTTTCCAACTTACCAAGAGCATCCAGAAATGCATCAAAGTTTTCAGTCTTGTCATGTTTCCAAACACCGTTGAAATCGCAAGGCATGGTGTATCGTATTAATTTAGGTATCAGTTGATAAATGAAAACGTCTTCAAAGCGAAGGGGGCTATTTCGCCGCACAATCTAGACCCAACCTCTACAACGAATAAACTCAAGGGGGGTTCTGGCTCCTGACAGTAATTCTACACTGTCTTCACTTTGGTAATCTTACACGTTACTAGGCAGGCATTAAATATTGTGCTGCTGACTTTTGCTGCGTTTTATTTTTGTGTCGCTAGCTTTAGTTGGTTTTCATACTGGCCTATGTATATATTTGCGTCCCGATTTTTGGCCTTTATAAACCATGCATTATTGATTGTCAGCTCCTTATACAAAAAAAGATATATTCGTGCCATTGTGTGTATAATATTTATTAAACAAACACTTGGGTGCCGTATAATTGAACACAAACGGAATTGATTATATGCAAATAATTCAACCACGAGTTATAATTATTTATAGCTTAAGTTAGGCTTTGATAATAATTTCGAATTAGTTTGATTCGAATCATCGCTAATCAGTGATTAATTATCACGTTTGAGGATTTGAGGGGTTTGGAAGTACATGTACTATGTGTAATACTGCAACATACATACTGTATACGAGCGTATGTACTATGTACCGGTGTGACAGCAATGGTAGTCCTAGATATCGGGGTCCCATATGCTAAGTGCAGGTTAGAGTTACGGAGTATTGGGGCAAGGAGTTATAACTCCTTGATTGGGGGAAGTATATGGGGCGAATATCACCCGTATGGGGAGCGGACTACGGTTCCTATTGTGGACTGCCATTATTGTAACACCCGTACGTGTCAGTTGTCAACTTGTCACCCAGTAGAAAGGGGCATTAGGTAGTTGAAGACATCCAACAGAACTGATTCAGTCCAAAATTAGTACTAAAACCAAATATAAATCTAACACATTTAAATCCACGCCCTTTTTGAAGGCTGTCCACTTTATTGTAGGCCTACTTCTTTCTCACAACTAAATGTCTAAGTAGATTTATTATAAAAACAGTCCTTATATGTATTACAGAGAACGATTGTATTTAAACATGCTTATAGCCAACATGTTATTTTAGCAGACCTTTTTAGTAATGACTGTCACCACACTCCCATAGTTTTTCTTTTCTAGACCAATCATTTCATCTTTATGGCTTTAGCAATAAAAACATAAAGGGATCAAAATGACCACACTTCTTTTAGTGGCTACCAGTATATTCACAGGCTACAAAAGTCCGCTTGTATCATAGTTGAAAGATCTAGACTACTGCTTTTTAAAGAATCGTTTGCAAGTCACGCCTCCAACCACCATTGTCTGAAAGAACAAAATAAAATACATAAGTGAGGTTTGCTAATACCAGAAATATTCATTTTATCCCTAATACTTCATAGTTTTCTTTTCTAGACCAATCATTTCATCTTTATAGTTTTAACAATAAAAACATGTAGGAACAAAAACAAACGCACTTTATCGTGCTAGTAATTATTTGCGATTACCAGCAATGTACATTTTATCCCTAATACTAAGTAATAGTGCGGACAAAGCAGAACATTTCAAAAGAGGTTCGCACCTGTACCATTTCGTCTGCTACAATCTCTCTGCTGACGACCATTGGTCCTTTCCATTCCTTCACTGGTGTGAAGTTCATCATCAGTTTGTTCCCGTCCCAGGAGGACAGCAACTGAATTGAAACGTCGGAATGACATGAGAGAGAGAGAGCAACTGAATTGAAACGTCGGGATGACATGAGAGAGAGAGAGAGAGAGAGCAACTGAATTGAAACGTCGGGATGACATGAGAGAGAGAGAGAGAGAGAGAGAAAGAGAGAGAGAGAGAGAGAGATGAATAAGTTATTAAATTTCAACAATTATCTACATGTACTAGTATTTTTTTTATTAATTCGTTAATGAAACATCTTCCTCAGTATGTGTACATTGCCATGATATGCTATAGTTTATATTAATATTGATTTTGTTATTCTATGGTTAATAGCAGTAACTGAAAAAGTGTATTATAGCCTAGACCTACTAGTACCTTCATTTTATGGTCAAACATCTCTGTTTCCAACTCGTTTCCTACAGTAAACTCCATAGTGTTTGTCTTTGGTCCACCTGATGTCTTCACTACAAACTTGTCGCCGTCCTGTTTGATGTCTATAACCGGCGTTACTTGCATCGCCATCTTTCTCTTTAAGGCGTTCATTCCTAAATACGTATAAATAATTTTAGTTTGTTTTGAACGCTTAATTTTCAAATTCTGCCAAAGGCATATTAACATACACTCTTGCTTATGTGTGGAAAAATGTATACCTATTGAGCATCAATATAAGCGGTAAATAGGTATGATTTCCATTATGCCACACAAAGAAAAACAATATTCAATCAACCTAACCCTTAGACACGAGAAGACTCACCAAGAAAAGGAATTATTTACGAAATAATAGTAGTGTAAGTGACACTATTGTGAATATTGAATTTAGGTTATCTGGTCATTACCTACCAAGTGCGCCCAAAAACCCATCAAGATTTTCACTTCTGTCATGTTTCCACACGCCGGACAAGTCGCAAGGCATTTTGTATTTGTTGTGCTGAATGAACAAAATCTATGCAGACTGTGCTGTTTCTGTTGATACTTGTACCGATATTGAGTCAGGGCAGAATACACGCTATTTATATCGAAAATAATCAGCTTCAGGATATCATTTTGTGCCCATGGTAACACACTGCTACGCGTTATAGTTTTTGACCTCTGCATGGTCACAATGTATTTTTATTATGCGGTTTTAGTGCTTGCGTCCCAGTTATTGACCCGAGAGTTAAAACGCCCAGTTTCCGTTTATTGTATTCTATACTTAGTATCCAGAAGGTGTGGCCCATAAGGGGTGTCTAAATGAATAATGAATGTATGATGTCTTCTCGCGCATCACTTACGTACTGTACACGAGGATTTGTAAGCAGTTCCAATCAAAAGGATCATGGGTGTTAAATACAAAAGACATTTAATAGGGGAAGGAGAATTATTCGAGAAAATTCAGTGTTGTCCATAACCATAATCTTAAAATAACTAATAAACGGTTTATTTGTGCTATACATATAATGTACATATATTAGCATAAATTTGCGTCTCAAAAAAAAAAAAAAATTAATGAGGGATTTTAAAAAGAGATATAGGCGTGTTACACTTTGCTGTCCTCTCTCTCTCTCTCTGAGGCACTGTTACTGTTTTCAAACATCTTTATTTGTAGGTTTCTCTACAAACACCTGACCATGGGCATGCAGTAACCAATGCACTAATAAACAGTAACGTTTTGTCGCTAATCCTCGCGATGCATTTCATGCTTAAATACAGTGGCTTGAACATGTAATTTAAGCAAAAAAGCCCAATCCTGGATTATACAAACGCTATATGATAACTTAATACTGTTTAATAACATCGCCCCTATTTTTGATCATGCAACACGCTTGAAAATCCTTTTCGCAGTCACTTCGCCACAAGTCATTTCCTGAAAATATAATTAAGGGCATTACAAAACCGCACCCAGCGCTTGGACAAGTTTTGGAAGGCGCTTATAATCAATACTGTAATGTGTTTGTCTCAGATAATTGGGAACTTAGTTAACAATTCCAATTTATTCACCGTACCTGCACCAGCTCCCCGTCTACGATCTCCCTGGTCATGATAACGGAGTCGCCGTCGCCGTCTACCGGAACGCAATGGAATACCAGCTTGGACCCCTCCCAAGCAGGAGTGGTCTGCAAATGCAGCGTATGACTTCTTAAATAAATGATTTAAATGCACTTGCACAGTTTGTCAATCGAATAAATACCTTCATTTGTATGCCCATTTTCCTGTATCAAGTTTTTTAATGGCAAAAGAGACAAAAGAAGAGGTATAAATTATATAATTTAATGACATATATGGTATGTTTGCACCTTCATTTTCTTCTTGAATTCGTCAAAATCCATTTCTATCCCTATGGTAAAGGCACTTTCCTTTGAAATAATTCCCATGCTGAATTTAGCCTTGAAGTTGTCTTCCTTCTGGTCCATAACCAAAGTAGGGTGAGTATTGACTGCTATTTTTTTCATAAAGTATGAAACACCTAGAGTAAATAATGCATGTTTTAGTTTAGCACTTGGATTCAAAGGAAAACTTTTTAATACATTCAGCTTATAGGATCATTCTTTCTTTTTTCATTAATTCATTCTTTTATTTATTACCCCCCCCCCCCCCAAGGAGATTGTTTTCACCCCTGTCTGTCTGTCTGTTTGTTTGTTTGTTTGTCATCAACATAACTCAAAAAGTTATGGACCGATTTTGATGAAATTTTCAGGAACTGTCAGAAGTGGGCCAAGGAACAGATGATTAGTTTTTGGTGGTGATCCGGATTAACAATCAATCAATAATCAACNCCCCCCCCCCCCAAGGAGATTGTTTTCACCCCTGTCTGTCTGTCTGTTTGTTTATTTGTCATCAACATGACTCAAAAAGTTATGGACCGATTTTGATGAAATTTTCAGGAACTGTCAGAAGTGGGCCAAGGAAGAGATGATTAGTTTTTGTTGGTGATCCGGATTAATAATCAATCAATAATCAACAATAATAAAAAAAAATCGCTGTCTTGGCGGAGGTCTGCGCTCTCGGAGTGCTTTTCTAGTTGTTTATGTAGTAACAGTATATACCGGGTACGGTTGATGCCATTCCCATATCACGCAGTCATATGAGTCTGTTTGATATGGTTTATCATTCTGAGTCACCAACGTGTAGGTAATTATACGATACTCCAAAACGAAAAAGATTGCCTCCCACCCCAGTCCCACTCCCCCGAAATCGCAGATAGCAAATCTGGAAGTCCAGTGACGCATAGCAGATCAGATAGAGAAGCACTAGTCCCGTCCGTCGAGTCATAGCAAACAAAAGTTGTTACTGTACAAATGTAAAGGTAAAGTAAAGGTGCTGCCGTATGTTACATGTAGAATTATAGACAAGTCGTCTTACCAACTTTGTTCAAGAACGCCTCAAAGTTTTCACTTCTATCCGCCTTCCAAGTCCCAGTGAAATCGACTGGCGCCATGTTAGTGGATTATTGTTGACGTTTTCTACTGCTACTCGGTTCAAATACCTATTAAATTATGGTGTCCATTAACACAAACCTGGGTACTGAGACTCGAATAAACTCATTGTATGCACTGTATACAAAGTGAAAAGAGGTCAAGATCTATTTAACAAAGGGTATAGTCCTGGTTTTTAACCTCTTTCCAACCTTAAACATGTTTAGCACTACAAAAGAGGGACCAGTGCTTTTACCGGATTTACGGGGAAGACCTACATTATGTCAGCTTTTATTAGATGACACATTCTCAAATAATTTTCTGCTTGTCACTGCGAAATGTGAATTGTTAACGAAAAGAGATAGTAGGGCCTGCTAGAGCACAGTGACGAGATTTGATAAAGCCAAGCACCGAAATACACGTCCGACATGTAACCCAAGGCTATCAGTGTGTGTGTGTGTGTGTGTGTGTTTGGGTGGGTGGGTGGGTAGGGGGGGGGGAGGGTGTCTTTGGGTGGGGGTGGATAGAGGTGGTTTGAGAAGGCGGTAGGCCTATATAGAAAGTACTTACTATAGGTTATTTCACTTGCCTGTGCAAAGTCACTAATGCATGATATGAGAACAATTTGGGACCCTGTAGTCAGTCTTGTATAAATCGATCGATGTTTTAACTGTGCATTAGATGCGATCAGTGATGATTATATTGATTTCAATTAACTAAAATATAACTTGTGTCACAAGACAATAAGTGTAAAGGTAAACAAAGTTATAAGATGTTTTTGAGGAAAGATTCGTTAATTTATTTTCGTATATATCAATATTCATCATAGTACAAAACAATGTACGAGTATTTATAAATAAACATATGATTTAAATGGCGATAAAAATTTATATTCGACACGTAAGCAGTAGCCTTTTCAGGAGTAAAACTGATACAATTAATTTAATATACAATCCAAAGAACAACATAAACGATATATTTTTGGACTTTGTTTTGCGATAAGTAGACACATGAATTTTCATCAAAATTAAACCTCGCTGGGGAGTTTTGATCATGCAGCTTATATGTACACGTAGTATGATCTTCACACGATTTGAAAAAATTCGCTGCTTCTCTGTCTTCATTTGACCTGTACAATCGAACAGAGCGGTTTTGCAGTTTGTACAATACGTGTCTCTCCCTGGAAGCAGTAAATACTAGACCCTACTGAACTCTTTTAAAAAATCGTTTTGAAGTCACTTCACCGCATGTCATCTCCTGAAATGAAATGATTTAGAGATTAAAGGGCATTAACCAAACCAATCAAATAAAACATGTGTCTTTATTAAGAAAAACCGACAATTTTTTTTGTCATTTCCTCTTATTCTATAGTTTGCATGGGAGGCATGTTTCAATGAGGCTAACTCCAATCATTAGTAAAGAATCATGGATATTCAACAAATTTGACGATTTCTGGTCGACTCTCGGACGAATATAAGGTTGACTCAAACTTTCAGTAACTTAAATAGTTTGCACTTTGTAATACAAAGTCTTGATTTTATTCCTAAACAAATAACGTGGTATATTGGTATATCTACCTGCACCATCTCCCCGTCTACGATCTCCCTGGTCATGATAACGGAGTCGCCGTCGCCGTCTACCGGAACGCAACGGAATACCAGCTTGGACCCCTCCCAAGCAGGAGTGGTCTGCAAGTACAGGGCAAACAAACAGATCTTCAAATTTAATAGAATTCCATTGAAAAGTGTTAAAATTTCGCCGTATGTGCTATGTGTGCACCTGAGTTAATGAATAGTTCCATATGCAGTAGAAAAAATCATGAAATGACGTCACCTTCTCACCTTCATTTTCTTGTCAAATTCATCAACGTTCATTTCAGTCCCAATTGCAAAGGCACTTTCTTTTGATATTGGTCCCATGCTAAATTTAGTTTTAAAGTTGTCTTCATTTTGTTCTATTGTTACCGTTGGGTTGGTGTTAGCGGCAATTTTTTTCTTTATGAAGCCAATACCTGAAATATTTCATTAAAGCATAGCCTACACACGATATATTTGTAATGATGAAAAGTTGGCATTATTTCATGTATGGAAACAAATGCCAGTACTACAGTTAGAGATACACGCGAAATATATCTAAGGCACAAGTCGTATGTCGACTCAGTTATCTCTATCGTGTACAGGTATGGAATGTAGGTCTACAATGTATGATTAACTTACCAACTTTGTTCATGAAAGCCTCAAAATTTTCACTTCTGTACACTTTCCAAGAACCAGAAAAATCAACTGCTGCCATGGTGAGGGAGAACTACACTATAAGGCTTCGTTCACATGCAATGTCTATTTTCTAAATTCTATTTTCTATTTGCGGCATGTCTTATGATCACGGTCTGTGCACTGAATATCCCGCCGCGTAATTACTGGCAGCGCGAGCCAGTTACTATAAGTTACTATAAGTTACTATAAATACTACTGTAAATATTTACAGCTAGATGTAGATATATTCTAGTAAAACGGTGCTGCATAAGCACATTGCCTCTCCAGCTCCTGAAGTCGTCTTTACAAACTATCGTACGTAATCAGGTAGGCCTACAACAGCACCCGCTGATCAAGTCACACATTAACTTCAAAATCCAGCATTAAGATTATCTTCTTTGTGAACAGTGACGCTGTTCATGCAATGGTTTGCTGCATTACCAAAGTCCAAAGCAGGACACTACACAATTGCAGCCACCAACGATCGCATAGAGTCTACTACCATTGCATGTGTCTTCAAATGACGCTATTTTCAATCAAATAGTTGTTACTTACGTACGTCGTTGTGATCGCGTGCAGCGGCGTCGTCATAATGACGTTGTATAAAGAAGTTATCATAATGATGCATCTATGAAGATCTCATGAAAAAGATGTAGTATCCTATCCAAGCTTTCGGTTCCTACGCCTTCTCTGGGGATAACTTATTTATTTCTTAAAGGTCTATACGGTGATTTGATATGAACCCTCAAAATGACGTTGGATGTAACGACCACGTCGCTGGGAATAAACAGTGAAAAAATTTTAAATAATGAATAAAATAAAATAACTATAACCTTCTGTGATAGTGTACATGTATATATTCAGGAAAGATGTCACTTAAAGCTGTAAGCCCATTATTTATTCTAAGACTTTGGTTATTTTAATTTAAAATATTTTCACTAATTCAGTAGGGCTTAATCTTTATAAAATAATTTTTTTTTTCGTACAAACAATATGCAATTTGTTCCTGTTAAATTAAATTTGAGATATTTATGTTTTAATGTTTACCAATGGATATAATACCCCTCAGTATAGATACTAATGATGTTATGTTTAACAAAGGACATTATATACGAAAGAACCCTGTGAAGAGCAAGCCAATGCTCAGGGATACATCAAGCTGACACGGGTGAACAGACAATAAGTAGGTCTACGTGTACATGTATTAGGCCTAATGAGGTAATATATTGTTGCACTTTTCCTTTTGGCTCACTCTGTAAATCTTTGAACGTGTGCATTTAAAGCATTGAAAACTAAATCAGAAGAAAAATTTAAAAGTTTTCATTTACGATAGATCCACATATTAGATTTATCTCTTGACCGTTGTGTCTGTTCACTCTGACAGACTTGGTCACAACTGAATTACTTTTTAAAGTTGAGATCCAATGAAACTATTTTCACATATAAATCAGAATAACTTACAAAACAGAGTGGACGAGCCAGTGCGAGCTATCACTGTATCCTTATGCTCATTTTGATGCATTAGGGGCCTACCCCCACCTCTCTCTCTCTCTCCCTCTCTCTCTCTCTTAGGCTCACCAATAATATTTTTGGGGTTAAAGTTGATGTAAAGCACAGAAAAGCTTAGCAAGCACTTTTATTTGGTTTCCGATTTTCGTTGAAATGACGTCAACACTGTTGATTCTATTCTTACTTATTCCAGAATAACATGGTGATCAACGGTTGCTGCGTACAATAGTTCCTTATTAGACTTGAAAAAAATATATTAATCTACTGGCTCTTTGCGCAAAGCAATAAGCAGGATATAGTGATTATCAAAATAAAGCATTTGTTTTCATTCCATTCATCTTGTAATCCTTAAAATCTAATCATGAAACAATCACTGAAAAAAAGGTTAACCATATACGGTAATATTAAAAAAAATTACATTTCAATGTAAGCATGGTATATAAGCAAATGTCATGAGATTGTACAAGCTAAATAAGCACATGTACCATGATAAAATACCACATATGGGACATGAATCAAGTAAAAACGAAAANGGTACAATAATGACCAGTATTGCAAATGCCCCTTCTTCAGTAGGTCTACACTTTCATTGTTTACAGTATCTTCTGCTTATTGTAAGCGGTCAGATAACATGCCACATCTTATATTATAACACTTTTACACAAACACAGTTTTACTGTACATTATATGCACATTTTGTTTTAAACAAACATGATGTACTATAGCTCTTATAAAACAGTCAAATGGGCTATGTTTTACAAATGACTGGAATTAATGCCCAAAATGTTAAACTAATAACTTAAAGTTTGTCAACGTTTAGTTAACATGCTTGGAATATATACTATAAAATATATATTTCATAAGCATCTTGTTCAGCACAATTAACTTGGAGGCAGTTTCTTGAATATTCTCTTGCACACCACATTTCCCACTTCCATGGTCTGAAAAAAACAACAACAAACAAAATAATAAAAAGAACATTCATTTATTTATTTATTTAAGAGGGTATTAGAAAGAAAATATAGCAAAGACTAATATATTTTTAAGCTGTATATAGCAGTCTCCCACAAAATAATGTGCAATAATGATGCAGTCATTGCTCTACATATGAATTAAAATCAAAAAGGAAATTTCTAATCACCATCATTCATTGTGACATGACGACCAAGGATGTATTTCTATTTAATTATCAAAAACCTGGCCAACAACTTATAGAGACTGATGATATGTTTTACCATAATTTTTCAACACTGAATGATCAACAGAAAAAAGAGATTCCCAAAATCACTAA